TTATTATTATTATTATTATTATTATTATTATATGGAGAATTTAGGCCTAACGGGATTGGGATATTTTATATTTCTTTTAATGAAATCTAATCATATTAAAATTATTATGCTTAACAAATAACTATCTGTAATTCTGAAGACACAAGCCCTGTCTACACTAGTTCTGCAGAAAAAAAAAAAAACGGTTCTAAAATCCCTATGCTGTCCCTCAAGGTGTCAAGAACATCTACATTCACAACAAATCTAAACTATTTTTATCCTTCATGCAGTTATTAACCATATCAGCCCACAATCAGATTGTGACAGTGACAGGATTAGGTTAAAGCGAGGGGAAAAAATATAAAATGTCTTTGTTGTTTTGGTTTGTAGGGCGCAAAATATTTTAATAGTGGGCATGTGCAAAATAGGCTGCTACATATCCTGTATCATTTACACCTATTAAATTTCAACATGATTTTTTAGCACTTTTAAAAATGATCAGCTTGTTCTTCTTACCAAAGTAACACAGTTTGTGTGTAAACAATGGTGCATGAACAACAACAAAAATCTCGGTGTAATGTACATTCATCCATCCATCCATCCATTTTCTGTTACAAATGTACAAATCAGAAAACAGAAAAAAATAACCTTTGGTTTATAGGCCAAGGAAGGAAATGTTAAATAAATAATTAACGGGACAACTGCAGCTTTAATAAATGTGAATGAGACTCAACCAACGAGCTGCCATTCTGTGATTCAGCTATGATTCTGTAGAAGACTGTTTACTTTTCAACTAAWGAGAAGCAAGTGTTTGTGGTTTTACAAAAAAATTACAAAAAGGTGTTTTTAAATATATTGATCCTGGAAGAATGAACTGTTCCAACCTTTTAAATTAACAGAACCCTAAAGATGACCTACTAAATGATGTCTGTTAGCAGAACCRTGGGCACGGATTAAATAAACCGAGGGAACAAACTCTTATAAACTGTATTTTGATTCACCCGCAGGCATCTAGGGGGCTCGGCAGAAAAATGGCTTACTGAGTCGTTAGTTGTGACGCTTGTCACGCTTCCACTTCYACAGTAACTCCAGCAGACAGGCCTGAACTTGTAGAGAAATCTTCAGCAACTTTAACAATCACACCAACCGTAAACACAGCCATGAATACGGTGCTAAAGTAGCATGACCATTAAAAGTAGAAATATTCTGGAGCATTATATAAAAAAAGGTTTTATATTTAGCAGTTCTACAGTATGTATGAGTACAAGAATGCGGTTGTTGGATGTCAYATGGATGGTACTATATTTTCTACAAGTATATATCATTATTAATATTATTGCACTCTGGCTACACATATTTAAAAAAAGTTAGTTTGGTTGTCTTTAGATGTACAGAAACACAGAAGTCAGAGCTGATTCAGCTGGAAAACGGTGGGCTCAGTGGTGCCATGTCATGCTCAGGATATTTATTTTGAATTTCTTCTTATTTCGGTCCCCCCACCCCACCCCCACCCCATTTTAAATTTGATGGGTATGTAAAAATTAGTTTGCCCTTAATTTTTAAGATTAAAATCTAGAGATTCTTGTTTTTCCTAGTCCAAAGTTTCGTTCAGAGCCTTCATAACGATCTGTTCAAATGYCAGAGAATATATCTCTTTACATGGAAATCCATCGGCCATGAATTTGACTTGCAGCACTGAGCCCACTTCTAAAAGACTGTTCTTTAGACAGAAAGGTACAAACAAGTCCAAGACAAAACTACAGAAACACATTGCACACCACTTCGCTTCTGATTCTTTTTAAAAATAGAAAAATAAAACACCTCTCCGTGACCTCAATTTGCAGTTTGAGAGGATCTTTCCTTTATCACTCAGAATTATTATTTTTTTTCCAAACAAAAACACATACTACACAAGAGGACAACGGAGGAAAAAAAGAAAAAAACAACAACAAGCAACTCAAAGTTTAAATCTGTGTGCAAAAACCATTTTAGAACTTCTATAAAAATATGTGCATATGGATAGAGCTATTTTAAAATCTCACCAAATACATTATTTTCCTTTTATTTACATTTGACCAAAAAAAAAAAAATAAGGAAAACGAAAAAAATAACAGCTCGGCACTGCTGCCCCTCTCGTATGAAAACACGCATTCATTCGCACTTCTGCTCGGATCAATGTGATCGAGGAGCAGACGGTGTAGGGGTGGGGGCAAGCAGAACCCCGTGAAAAAACCTGAAGTTGCATAATCCATCAATCCTGTCCCTCACGCTCGCATTTCACAAACCGCTTCCTGGAAGGGTCAGCGGAGATCAGCCAGACGCTGCTTCCTGATTGGCTCGCGTGAGTGAGGACAGTGTGTGAAAAAAAACTTTGGCTACAGAGTAAAGTGGCTTCAGTCCCGATGTGTGAAGAGGATCAGCCGTTAACACACCATGTACAGTTCAAGGATCTCATGTTTTTCAAGCAAATATATATATATTTAAAAATCACCGTTGTTTAAGGAAGAGTCTGTTCCAGATTTTCTCTGGAAAAAGTGATGTATATATATATATTTTTTACTTATTATTATTTATCAAAAACCAGAACAAACTAAAAATAAAAAGCTCACAAACCCAACTTCCATATTTTATTCTTTTCTCAACCTGGGTGAGGTCGTCAGGGACCCCAGCTCTCCAGCTTTGAAAGTAGCCTCCTCGTCAGAATGTAACACTCGGTGTTTACTGAGCGGTCCTCCGATTCTTCGCGCTAAAACCTGCGCTGCTTCCCAGTCTGCTGTCGAACGGGGAAGAGCAAGTGGCCGGATCTGGGTCCGAAATGGCTGCTGACAGGCTGCTCACGTACCTGGACTGTGGTTGGTCAAAGTTAAACTGGGTGACTTGGATGCAGTCTCCCGCAGCGGGTGGGTGCCTTGCGGCAGAAGACAGAGGGCGCGTCTGTGAAAAGTGCATCACGGTGGGGAGAAGAGGGGCGTGTGGCTGGATGAAGACGTTCGGGCTGATCGGGATGTTGGACGGGGTGGGCGTAGACGTGAGGGGCGGAGCGTGCGTTGGGGTAGGTGTCAGCACGTGAGATGGTGATAGTGCTTGCAGCGGCACGTGGATAGGCGTCAAAGGTGTTTGCATCTGTGTGCGGATGTTGGTCGACGTGTCTTTTGTGAAGGGGTTTGATGGCGGCGTCAGGTCACTGGATGGTGTCCGGCGTCTTAGCATCATGCTGCAGTCGGCCAACTTTGGGGGTGATGGAAGTCGGGGGTGTTCCTTCTCAGAGGGTGGGTAGATGGATATGCAGGGCGGGCTTGTCTTCTTCTTCCTGTGGCTGCTACCGACTGACTGCACCCTCACAGGAAATGCCTGAGTGCCTTTTCCAGGCTGGCAGTGCTCTGTTGTCAAGCGTGGACTGTCACTGGTTGGAATGGTCTGTGGAAGGCAAACCTCAATGGAGTGGCGACGCTGGTCTTCAGAGTACCCAGCAGATTCTGGCGACAGTTTGTCCAGGAAGCCGTGGTTGTCAACCTTTAAGCCTTTCTTGGCATCCTTCAAACCTGCCTCGAGTAGACTGTGCGCACTCCTTGCGGAGGAAGGTGGCAGCGTGGGAGGAGGAGACAAGGAGCTGAAGCTGAAGTCGAGAGGGCACGGCAGGGTGTAAGGGGAGAGGGAGTGGCTACGGCCGGCTTTTCGTCTGCTCTCCCGCTCCACGCCCTCCCCATCCCTCCACCTGCAGCGGGCAGAGCTGGTTATGTGATACACCTCCTCGTCGGCCGGGTCCGAGAGGGAGACGGCGGACGGCGCCCTGGGTCGGCGGAGGCTCCCGGAGCGCGGGGGAAGACGCGGGGAGGGGGGTGGCGGGAGGAGAAGCGAGGGGGTTGATGGCAGCAGAGGGAGTGGAGACGAGGAGGATGGCGATGGAGGGAGGGCAGAGGAAGAGAGGGAGCAGGGCGGGAGGGAGAGGGTGGAGGGAGCGGAGGAATGAGGGGGCACAGGCGTGAACGAGGCAGCATGAGTAGAGAGAGGAGACGGGAAGTGTGGGAGAAGATGAGCAGAGTTTGACCTCTCTTGTTTCTCACAACTGTGGGACTCCACTGAGTCCACTTTAACTGCCACCTGCAAGACAAGAGGGAATCCCACAGTCAGTGACTTTGATGGTTTCTGATCCAAGTACAATCACAAATCAATACACTTTTATCTGTTCTTGACTTTTAAGGAAGTCAAGAATGGGCAACAGATGTCATTTTGATGCAATGTTGAAAGTACAGTTAGGTCCATATATATTTGGACACTGACACAAATTTTGTCTTTCAACTGTTTACTGAAACATATTCAAGTCACAGTTATATAATGTACATTGACATAAAGTCCAGACATTCAGCTTTCATTTGAGGGTATCCATATTAAAACTGGATGAAGGGTTTAGGAGTTTCAGCTCCTTAACGTGCCATGTTTTTAAAGGGACCAAAAGTTATTGGACAATTGACTCCAAGGTTATTTCATGGACAGGTGTGGGCAATCTCTTCATTATGTCATTCTCAGTTAAGCAGATAAAAAGCCTGGAGTTGATATGAGGTGTGGTGCTTGCATTTGGATAGTTTTGCTGTGAAGTAAACGGTCAAAGGAGCTCTCCATGCAGGTGAAACAAGCCATCCTTAAGCTGCAAAAACAGAAAAAACCCAACCAAGAAATTGCTACATTAGGATTGGCAAAATCTACATATGCAATCATTTTGTTCAACCCACTGAATTAAAGCTGAAAATCTGAACTTCAACTGTATCTGAATTGTTTTGTTTAAAATTCATTGTGGTAATGTCTAGAACCAAAATGAGAAAAAATGTTGTCTGTCCAAATATATATGGACCTAACTGTATATGGTGCATGAGGACACCCACATGGCTCAAAGTATTTAGCCTTCAATGATAGACCAAAACGAGAGTGTGTCATAATATGAGGATGTCGTGAGGACGTCAGATGACTAGTGGTTCAGGGAACCCTGATAGCATAGTTCTAGGTCTGTTACATTCTACTTCCCCCACACTCCACCCTTCTTTTAAGGGGACATATCATGCAAAATCCAATTTCTAGTCATTAAATATATGTTGTTGTCTCTAGGAGTGCAGCAAAAGTTAATTTAGTCACTCCTGGTTCAATGTAGATACCTGTTCAGTTTTCTTTATTTTCTATGAGCTTTTCAAAACTGTTATGTCAAAGTATTTGCAACGGAACTACCAAATAAGGTCTGGACTTTGATCTTAGACATGCCTCAGAAGGTGATTATGGAGTTACAATAAGGAGGAATTCAGACATTGCAGTTCCACTTTGTATGGACTCCAACTGAATGATTTAAATGTGAAAAATATGGATTTAAAAGCACTATGTCTCCTTCAAGATGGCACCCTATAAGTTATTTTAATGCCGCAAATACCTTCTTTTCTCTTATTTTTTTATTATTATTTTTTAGAAATATTGTTTTAAATTGTTTAATGATTCTTTTAACAATTTGATGGGACAGAAAAATTCAACCTTTCATCTCATGTGGACAATAATTTACACTAAATCATTACTACAATCACCTGTTGAAATAACCTTAAATTCACATTGTTAATGAGGTTTAGTCCCATAACTAGTCTTTGATAGCCCTGTTGAAAATTTACATTCATGTAGCAGACCTACTATGCCAGAGTAAACACATCTTAGAATGGGTCACTCTTTATTTATTTATTAACCATTAAACATGGAAGCTCTGTTTCCGGGTCTCTGCCCTGTTCCGTGGGAGTTCCGCAGGGTAGCATACTGGGCCCATTGCTTTTCCTATTATACATAAATGGCCTACCAAAAATATTGAGGTATTCAAATATTTTAATGTATGCTGATGATACTGTTCTTTTTTGTCTGATTTCAATATTGAATCTATTAACAGTCAGTTACAAGCAGATCTTCAGAAATTTCACGGTTGGCTTCAAGACAATCTTTTGTCAATTAATGTTAAAAAAACTGTGTGCATGTATTTTTTCCTCACCCAGGAGACATTTCAATATAACAAATCAACTCACTTTTTTAAACAAACCCCTTGATATTGTCACAACCTACAAATACTGTATCTTGGAATTACTTTGGATTCTCATTTGACTTATCGTGATCATGTACAAGTCTTAACCATTAAGTTGAAACAGAAATTATACGCTTATTCAAAAATTAGATCCAATCTGACATCTTCTGTTTCAAATATCTGTCTTCATGCCATTATACTCTCAACCATGTC